GATTCTAGTAGTCTACATCACACAGGAGTGATAGATTATATTAGTATTCAGTCAGTCTTCAGGTTGCTACCCGGTTGTTATATGGTCTGCAAACTCTTTTAGAACAGACTAGAAATATTATCTTGCCTTGACGCTTAAGAACGATTTAGGCTTCTTAAGAGATTTGCTGCTCCTTCCTGCTTAGATTTTTTTTTTATATTTAGATTGGGAATCGGATGGTTGACGTGTTTACGTGTTTTTGGCGTAGTGTTGTTGTTACTACGGGTGAAGACGGATGAGAACTGGTTCAGTAGAATGTGTGTTAATCCTTTACTGTCACTGACTAGTCAGCCCTGTGACTTTATATCTGCCACTCCTAGGTTGTCCTGTTTACTTGATTTTTTGTATTTCCATAGTTGTTCTGATCTAGTGCATCTTGTATAACATTGGTTACTTTTCCGTTACAGTCTTTTTGAAAGTGTTACTCAAGTTTTCTGTCTTTTTGGCTTGATTTTAAAGGTTTTGGTTTTTCTTCAGCGGTTCCTTATTTTTGTTGTTGAACCATGGTAGACTGTTGTTGGATTTTTTAGCTTGAATTTTAAAGTGAGTCAAGCAGATGTTTTTAAAATTTCAGTTCTGTTCTCAACTATGGTTTCGATTTCCTCTTCTATTTCCTCCCAGTTTCCTTTCCCCACATGTAATAATTCCTTTTTGGTGTTTTCTGATTATGTGGTTTGGTGTCCATGTCAGTGACAATGGTGTCATGGTCCGAGATACCTGTTTGTTATTTGATGCTTGGATTAGGCGTGGGTTTGTAATAAACACTAGATCAGGTAGGCTCTTTTCTCTTCTAGGTTATTCTTGGATTTGCGTGATGCCTGCTAGCATGCTTGTATCGAATATCTGACGTTAGCTTTCTTAGTCATTCACTTCGTTTCATAGAGCCAGATTGTTCCCCGGTTTTTTAGTTTTATCTTGGAACGTGTCTCTAGTCCAGCAGTAACCGATGTCAAGACAGCTCCCGCTTTTATTCCACGATTTCACACTCCTGTTTGCTGATACAATATGGTTCGAGTTATTTCCCCTTATTGCCCCCGATTTGGATGGGTTGTGGTTTGGAAATGAACTTGATCAGTTTATTTGTTGATTTCCAAAATGGCTGTTTCACAACAAACTAGATCTGATTTGAACTTGATCGAAACAGGTCTCATTACGTATGTTGAAAGATTTTGTTTCTCCGATGCACAAGAATTCATGAAAAGCAATTTCCCAGACATTAATAGGGGAACTTCACGATTATCTCTCAGCATCAACTTTCATTACTCTGGCAGTTTCCATGTCATCTGGTGTCATGAGTGGGTACATGTAGGGTGGTCGGGTTGTGCAGTGGATAGAGCACTTGCCTTTCAACAAGGCGACCGGCGTTAGATTCCCCGATCGGACATGAAACGGTATCGGGTCACCTGCCCGATCTCGTGTGTTTTCTCCGGGTACTCCGGTTTCCCTCCCTCATTAAGACTCCCCGCGCGCTTACAGCCGTGCCAACAAGAGTGATTAATATAAGTTGAAATAACTTGTTTCATAATTGTTGTAAAATAAATGAAGTTTATATCATATGTTATAAATGTGGACATACACGTAGGACGCCTGAAGTAGGTAGACATGACCACGTGTCAGGCAGCTATATTTTAAGAAGCATACTATTAAGGTATTCGCGATCACAACAATCCCTCTGGTCCTCCTTCCTTTTTGAAGGTTTAATTCAGTTGGTGCATGCAATAGATGTCATGCCATGTCCACCGGTACCAATAGCGCATTCCATTAGCAGGTAAATAGTTCGTTTCGTCACAAATGGAACGTTCCACTAAATGAAACGCTGTAGTTGTTATCTAAACGGTTATCATTGGTTGAGAGATCAGGGGTAGCATGTTCGATAGCTAGGGGTCACGACCTCTATGACAAACTTGAAGGTTATGTACGTATGCGCCATCTTTTGGATGATGCAAGTAGACAAGTTTGATGATCCTTTGATATACAACAAAACAATCCCGCGGCAGCATAACGAGAGCATATGGCTGCGATNCCCATACACACAACTATCCCAGACTGGAACAACCTCCCACCAGACCTGGTCTCATCTGAATCTCTGGGAACCTTTAAAAGTCGTCTCTCCTCTCTACACAATTTAATTAGCTCTACTCTCACTCTCTTTTCCTGTAAATCTTCAATATGATGAAGTAGGTCGAGTATCAGGTAGAAGCAGAAGTAATATAATTACTATTTTTTTTACTATCTTCCCTATCAGCTGTTTATCTTTCCTGTCTGCTCTTTCTTTCCATTGGTGTCTTCGGGCAACGGTCTTAATTTATATCCATGAACGTTTAGCTGTTGCTGGGCCATTATAACCCCCATACAAACAACACAACTGTGTACGTACTGTGACAAGATTTGAGGTCTGGTAATATGAAAACTTAAAATGAGGGATGCCTTTTCCATTGATTAAAAAAACTTCTGAATGTGGAACATGTTTGGAACATGTTATTGATAAATTAGATTTTTCCACTGAGACGTTTGTAAGTCTGCTGTGAGCTTTGATTATCATATCTGGTATATCCTCGATATCCAGAAGTTACGCTTATCTACGCTCTCTACAGCTTCACCCCTGGATATCGATAATTACTTCCCTGTTGTATCTGTATTGAACAGCAATGTCCGGATGCCGAGTGGTTGTATGCTCTAAACTTCCGTTAATGCATCGAACTTCCCTAAGAAATGATAACACCGGAATAGCCTTAGTCCAGCCATGTATCCCCTGAACATTAATATATAATAAATCAGTCACTCAGATTGTGGATGATATGTTTTCCATCGATCATAGCCTAGTAAAAGTTTTCCAAAACGACGTATACTCTCAAAATTTCTTATTCTCAAAACAAGTACCATACGAGGAGTAGGACATGCTTATCCTAACAGTATATCTGATTTCACCCCCAGTCCCAACAGTATATCTGATTTCACCCCCAGTCCCAACAGTATGTCTGATTTCACCCCCAGTCCCAACAGTGTATCTGATTTCACCCCCAATCCCAACAGTATGTCTGATTTCACCCCCAGTCCCAACAGTATGTCTGATTTCACCCCCAGTCCCCACAGTATGTCTGATTTCACCCCCAGCCCCCACAGTATGTCTGATTTCACCCCCAGTCCCACCAGTATATCTGATTTCACCCCCAGTCTCAACAGTATGTCTGATTTCACCCCCCGTCCCAACAGTATATATGATTTCACCCCCAGTCTCAACAGTATGTCTGATTTCACCCCCAGCCCCCACAGTATGTCTGATTTCACCCCCAGTCCCAACAGTATATCTGATTTCACCCCCAGTCTCAACAGTGTATCTGATTTCACCCCCAGTCCCAATAGTATATCTGATTTCATCTCTAGCTTTTGCAGAGATTAATGTTTATCCTGTCATGTATACTTGTTACAGAAAAGTGCTTTAATTTCGCTGTGTCAACATTTTGCATTTTCATAATAATACCTAGAGCAGAATTCGCGCTTCACATGATTCACGTGTGTCAGAATTCGTACACGACAGACAACTTCTGGTGAAGTTTCTTAATTTCATGTGTTTGGTGTTGCCAGTTTGACATTGAGTTAAATGATAAAATGTAGATATTGTTTTTACTACTAATTAATTAAGATGATAATAGAACGAGAATTTCTATAAAATCAAACCTAATATTCTACGTGGAACACCGTGCTAATAAGATTACTCAAAAGACCGATAACACCGTATTCAATATTACTGTAGACCGCTTAATACTTTACTCATCGACTGGTTCGCCCGTTGTCAGTATAATGTGATCTGGTGGGGGTGTCCTGCTGGGTGTCTTCGGCAGTATGTTTCAGTGAGGTAGCACTATAAAGTTGGCATCAGTTCCGCACTATCACAAGGAGACACACACTAACATATCGCAGCCTCCCAAAACACGCATGCATCATGCACACATAAGAGGCCGTCCTTAAATGGCCATAGCTGTTGATAGGACGTTAAACAATACTAAACCAAACCAAACTAAACCAAACTTTACTCATCAGCTGTCAATACATGCCATTTTAAATATATTTCTTTTCTATACAACACTCTCTAGTTTAAATTATATCATCATTTTTACATCTTTCAGGCTATCTTGTAATTTCTGCTCCGTTTACTTTCAAAAATAGAAAAAAAAAGTTTTCTGAATGTACGCAAAACATCGGGGCTAACAATAGCAAAATTACGCTCACCTGCTGACGTGCTTTAGTCGCATCATATAATGCTACACCGCAAGATGTATTACTATAGTGCAATGTGTTTACTCGTATGATCAGCAAAAAGAAAACTCGAACAACAAAATCAATTTTAGTTTTTGTTAATTTTAAACATGCAGTGATGTGATCTCTTGTACATTTAAATGAAGCTGAGTAACTTGTACTGTCGTCAAATCATGACTGAATTTGTTCTGGTATTTCTGTTGTTTTCGTGTCAAATTAAATTTTGCACAATTATCTAGTCTTCAAACTACGGCAAATAAAACATTAATCAACAATCTCTCATAGTTTCTAGTTCTGTTTCAATTAGAATATCTTGATAATGTGATAGAACTTTATTAATATCAATTACTGTTAATTAATCGTCGACGTCACGCGCACCTGCAGCGGTTGAATAAGAGATAATTGCGAGGTACAATATCTACGTGTATATATCCGAGTTAAACTTAAAAGAACAAAATCAGTTTTTAAGTTATTTCCTTTAATTGTCATGATCACAAAGTAGCCAAGGGTTAGATAAAAATGCCAATATGTATATATATATATTGTCTGTGCAACGCTTCCGATGCACCCGGCCTTTTCATCCTGGGGTGAAATTTCTGTTGACACACGAACTGTCGCGTGGTAAACAATAAACCAGCACCGGAACTACTCTTCGAGTCAGAAGAGCTACCCGACCATAACAGTAGAGACAGCCACGTCGTAAGAAGTCAGGTAAAGAGATAAGTAAGGTCAGGAGAGCTACCCGACCAGTGGAGACAGCCACGTCGTACGAAGTCGGGTAAAGAGATAATTAGGGTCAGGAGGGGCGGAGAGCTACCCGACCAGTAGAGACAGCGTCAGGTAAAGAGATCATTAGGGTCAGGAGAGCTACCCGACCAGTAGTTAGAGGCAGCCACGTTGTACGAAGTCAGGTAAAGAGATCATTAGGGTCAGGAGAGCTACCCGACCAGTAGTTAGAGGCAGCCACGTTGTACGAAGTCAGGGAAAGAGATCATTAGGGCCAGGAGAGCTACCCGGCCAGTAGAGACAGCCACGTCGTACGAAGTCAGGTAAAGAGATAATTAGGGTCAGGAGAGCTACCCGACCAGTGGAGACAGCCACGTCGTACGAAGTCGGGTAAAGAGATAATTAGGGTCAGGAGAGCTTCCCGACCAGTAGAGACAGCCACGTCGTACGAAGTCGGGTAAAGAGATCATTAGGGCCAGGAGAGCTACCCGGCCAGTAGAGACAGCCACGTCGTACGAAGTCGGGTAAAGAGATAATTAGGGTCAGGAGGGGCAGAGAGCTACCCGACCAGTAGAGACAGCGTCAGGGGAAGAGATCATTAGGGTCAGGAGAGCTACCCGACCAGTGGAGACAGCCACGTCGTACGAAGTCGGGTAAAGAGATAATTAGGGTCAGGAGGGGCAGAGAGCTACCCGACCAGTAGAGACAGCGTCAGGTAAAGAGATCATTAGGGTCAGGAGAGCTGCCCGACCAGTAGAGACAGCCACGTCGTACGAAGTCAGGTAGAGATCATTAGGGTCAGGAGAGCTACCCGACCAGTAGAGACAGCCACGTTGTACGAAGTCAGGTAAAGAGATCAACTAGCATAACGTCACGCTAGTTTCAGGCTAAAACATTGATGTGTTATCTGTATCATTGTCAGATCGCAGGGGTTCATTACACCACAGGAGTCAGGACAGCAGTCTAACAGGTTTTTCATATTTTATTTATTTTTATTTCATATACAGCTTGTTATAGTTATACAAAACGTCAGACTCCTGTGGTTACACCGGTGGTCAGATCGGTCAGACTCCTGTGGTTACACCTGTGGTTACACCGGTGGTCAGATCGTACACATAACATGTATTTATCAACAGGGACCTGAAAATTTGTTACCGCATCATGTATATTTGGACCTAAACTATTGTGTTCAGAGTAATTTTACATGTTTTAGCGGTAAAAATTCAGTAAGTTTACTCTGAACACCTTAGTTTAGGTCCAAATATAGCTGTAACAAATTCTCAAGTCTACTGTTTATAATTACCTACCTGCAATAAGGTAGCTTTTTGACGACGAGAGAATTTTTGTTATTGTGGTCGGGGCAGAGGAGGAGGCCGGGTATTAATATTAGTCCTAGTATCTACCTACTTCAAATTAAACCATTATCATGATCAGATGGTGGGTTATTCAGATCACCCTGCGTCCTGGTCTGTAGATTTTGAGCTCTTGATATTTGTTCAATGTAAATTAGCTAAATAAACTGATATTAATTCACATTGTTTGAATTATCTCCCCTTTCTTCCAGTCCTCTTGAAGATTTGAATAACATATGGAGGAACTGCTGAGACAACAGCTATGATTCCACGTTCTTGTCGATCCTATCTCTACCAAATTGGTAGTAGGAACATCCGGGCAGCCATTTTGTTCATCGTTGCTGTAGCGATTCTGCTGGCTGCCAGGGATTATCTTCAGTAAGTTCTTTTTTCTCTCGAAGATGAAGTCTTCTAAAATATCATTACAACATTTTTATCTGTCACAGGATCCATGAAAACAATAAGGGAATATAAAGTTTCCTGTTTATTGGTATGTTAGTTCAATCCTCTTCACATAATGGTGTCATTAGTCAAAGTAATATGTGACATTAAGAGAAATCTGATATTAAGGGGGGAATGACATTAAGAGAAATGTGATATAACAGAAAATGTCAAATTGACGGAAAAGTGACATAAAATGAAATGTGAATCAATGGAAAAGAGACATTAAGAGAAATGTGACATAAAGGGAAATACAGCATCAAGGAAAATGTGTTATTAAGGGAATTGAAATATATAATAAAATGTGACAGCAATGTAAATGTGACATTTAATGGAATGTGAATTAAAGGGAAAAGTGATGTTAAGGGAAATGTGACATAAAATAGAATGTGAATTTAAGGGGAAAGTGATATTAAGGGAAATGTGACATAAAAAATAATGTGAATTTAAGGGGAAAGTGATATTAAGGGAAATGTGACATAAAAAATAATGTGAATTTAAGGGGAAAGTGATGTTAAGAGAAATGTGACATGATATAGAATGTGAATTTAAGGGGAAAGTGATGTTAAGAGAAATGTGACAATATGGGAAATGTGACATTAAGGGAATTGAAATATATAAGAAAATGTGACAAATGGAAATAGGAAATAATGGGAAATGTAAAATACAGGGAAATGTGGAATAATGAAAATGTGAAATAAAGGGAAATGTGACATTAAATTAAATTTGATATTAAGGAAACTATAGCATTGAAGGAAATGTGATTTTCACAAAAAATAAAGCTTAAATGTGAAAATAAACCCTTTTTTTATGTTTTAAGTATAAGCTTATACGTAACATTTGAAGAAGTCTAAAAAAATCAAAACCAAAGTTGTGATAATAGACCCTCAGGGCCATTACCAGGTTGTTTGCAGACATTTATTATAGCTTGTACAGGTAAATGTTTATTTGACATGCTTGGTAAATACCTTCAAAACTTAATATGAAGGAGTTGATCTCAAAATCAAACTTAATTAATAAAATGTTTAGATAGAAAAGGGGCAAATTAAAAAAAATATGACATTAACTAAAATTGATATTAAGCAACGTGACATTAAGTGTTACCTATTATAGAAATATTTTATGAATGCAGAAATTGGCCGTTTTGTCAAATAAATATGGGTTATAATGGACAATGAACATTCAAGTCTGCATGTTCCTCCTCTTATAAAGTGGCTGATATCACAGGATGGTAAGCCCTCATGATTGACCTTTATACTGACACTACTATTTTGTTTTCCAGTAGCCCTGGAAAAGTTCCTTATAAGACACGTGAGTTTTATGTTCATTTAATTCTGGTATTTGTACTGGTCTAGATTATGGTTGGGTAGATTTTCCATCACAAAACAAGAATCAGGAAAAGTTAGCACTTTTATAACATCAGGAAGTCGATACAGAGTAAAAGTCATATATATAAAAAAAATGTTTTGATTAATGGAGACTGATAATTAAGTCTATCACATATGGCAATACATTATTTTTCCTGTACTAATAATGTATTCACCCCTGAAGACACATTTGAACTCTTCCAATTCAAAGGTTGGAATAGTTCACTATGAAATTTCAGGGGTGAATGAGTTAAACTTGAAAATTCTTGATCTTATGATGTGATACTAATGAAACATCAGTTTACCACTTTAACTCCGACATATTATAATGACATTATGTCTACATCACATCAATTATTTGCAGTTGAAAACAGTTCTGAGATTTCCTGTCTGGTGTTAGTAACTCTAAACGTCTAATTATCTTTGCAGAGAAAGTGATGAAGTGGAACCCAGCACATAACAAGGACCTGTTCCTCATTCCAGCAGTGCGACCCAAAGGTAGGTCAACTGATGGATGTCATAGGTCACAAGGGGTCAAAGGTCACTAAAATTGCTTCATTTACTCATTCACCCCTGAAGACACATTTAAGCTCTTCTAATTCAAAGGTATGACTAGTTCATTATAAAATTTCAGGGGTAAATGAGTTAAAATAGCATTTTTTGCTATTTTTAGAATTTGATTAATTTTGATGCATATTCCATTTTTTTTTCCAAGTTCATCATGTTAAACCTATAGACAAGAGCGAAGTTATGGCCAAACTAGCCCAGGCCAGAGGGCCTCTGGAACACCCACTGCTGGCACTCCAGAGTCACGTGGGGCAGGTCCAGAAGTCCAAGGAGGACGAGGCCATGGTGGAGTATATAGCCACAAAGACTAAGGTGGAAATTGGGGTCCTGACCAATATGGAGGATGATTGGACGTGTTGGTTACAGGTAACACTGACAAACACTGGGAAGGCGACTATTTCGTATGGACACTGGGAGATATACTTCCATTCCATTCGCTTCCTGCAGATAAAGGATCGTCCATACCCATCAGGTATTCTCATCAAAGACACTGCGTTCCGTTTATTTCACGTGCAAGGGTCGCTGTACCGCCTCGTCCCTGAGAACGGATTATTCATCAACTGGCCTGCGGGTAAAGAAATAACACTTCACCTGGAAGCCAAGGCTTTCTTGATCTCACGATCTGACTTCTTCCCTAATTGGTACGTAACTGCACCAAAAGTTAAACCCCTCCTTATCCAATCCACAGTTGACGGCAATCTCTCGTTCGTCCAACCGTTTGACACGTCTAGTAAATGGAAGAGAAATAAACAAGACCAATATAATCCATTTACCGCCGAGGATCGATTCAATCGGAATTTAGTAATACGAGACCTTGGACATCAGGGATCCTACGTCACCCCAACGCCCGTCCAGGTCAGCTTTGATCCGATAACAAAGGTTGTTATGGATACGAAGACTTGGCAGATTTTCCACAATGGAAAGTTCTCAAAGGAAATCAACTACCTAGCAGGTAAGATTCCATGACTTCTAAAATATGATTGTGTTACCAGGGAAATGTCACAGATTTTAATTGTACATAGGATTAGTGTTGCCTTCTAGCTTCCAGCTAGAGGAATTTCCCTTTAGCTCAGTGGTAGAGTGTCCAACTAGGAAACTGGTGATTGAGGGTTTGATCCCCAGTGGAAGCACACTATTCTCTTTCCTGTTGCAATTGGTGCCGTGACCTGTTCAGAAATATGGGATAAATATATTGACCCACTTCACTTTTCCACTGTAGTCCTGATTAATTCATACATAAAACCAGCTAAGTAATAAAACTGTCTTGGATGCTGAGAGACAACCAATATTGGAAAAAAATTGCAGTAATATATTAAATGAGAGTATCAATGCCATGATTGGTGAAATATCAAGGTTTCTTTTCAATAACTTGTCATGTAAATAATTATCTGAGACGGTTGATGAAACAGGTCACCTCTGATTTCCAGATCTGTTTAAAATGGAGGTGAGCAGTGTCCAGCCGTTGTCTAAATACATACAGATTGTGGAGAAGAAGGTTTTCCCTTTGAAGCATGCCCCAACTACAGTGAAGGAAGCGTACACAGTGGAGGTGACCCCAGACGTCGTGACCTTAGCAGCCAGTGACACGGCCGGAGCATTTTATGCGGCTGTCACTCTCTATAGTTTGACAAACCGTGTCAATACAGGACTGTGGGAAGTGCCGGTCGGTAAGGTCATAGATCAACCTCGTTTTCGACATCGTGGTCTGCATTTGGATGTTGCACGGAACTTCCGGCGTAAAGATGAAATATTGCGTCTTTTGGATGTCATGGCCATTTACAAGTTGAACAAACTTCATCTTCATCTGTCAGATGACGAGGGGTGGAGAATAGAAATACTAGGTCTTCCGGAGCTCACTCAGGTAGGGAACATTTCAGAGCTCACTCAGGTAGGGAACTTCCAAAATTCACTTAGGTAGGGAATTTTATGGAGCTCACTCTGGTACAGACACTTCCAGAGCTCACTCAGGTAGGGACCTTTCTGGAGCTTACTTAGGAAGGGAACCTTCCAGAGCTAACTGACAGGAAACCTTCTCGGGGCTTACTCAGGTAGGGAACTTTTCGGAGCTCACTCAGGTAGAGAACCATTTAGAGCTCACTCAGGTTGGGAACCTTCCCTGAGCTCACTCAGACAGGGAATCTTTCCAGAGCTCACTCAGGTAGAAGAAAAAACACTTTTATTTTACAAGTATTATTAAACAAGTTATGTCAACTTATATTAATCACTCTTGTTGGCCTGGATGTTACCGCGCCTTGGTGAAAGGCAAGTACGCTATCCACTGCACCACCTGACCAGTCAGGTAGGGACCTTTCTGGAGCTCACTCAGGTAGGAAACCTTCCAGAGCTCACTCAGGCAGGAAACCTTCCTGGGACTTACTCAGGTAGGGAATTTTTCTTGAGCTCACTCCGGTAGAGTATTTCCTGGGAGTGTCGTGTACCTGTCTGAGAGTGTTAAATAAGATAATACATTGAAATGCTACTAATTTTGTGTGATTAAAATAAGGATTATGTTCATGGAAAACACAAATATGTTCCCCTATTTTCAATAAAAAGTACTTGATTAAAAAAAGTTATTACTAATATTTGAGAAAATAATGATAAAAATACTAAAATAATTTAACTCGCCCTACACTGTACATGGAGCTGAAACACCAGCACGCTCAACCATGTTTTTGTTTACGTGATGTTGATTGAGCATTAGATACCTTGGTCCTGGAAATTAAGAAATCTTACTCTACTTCAGCACAGATAAATGATTGAAAAAATCTGTATTTTCGTATAGGTTGGGTCGAGACGTTGCCATGGTGACAGTAAGTGCCTGTTCCCCCAGCTTGGGTCTGGCCCTGAGGCCGAGTACCCGGGCACCGGGTACTACACCGTCAATGACTACTGTGAAATCCTGAGACATGCTGATGCTCTACACATTCAGATCATCCCCGAGATCGACATGCCGGGACATAGCCAAGCCGCCATTAAGGCTATGGAGGTCCGTTACTACGACCTTCAGGAGAAAGGTCGTGGACTGGAGGCTCGACAGTACCTTCTCAGTGACCTCTCGGACAAGTAAGTCGGGCTCACATCCTAAACTATTGTAATGAATGGGGAGTTTTATTGGCTTTTTAGGTCACACTGAGCTTTTGCTCAAGTGACCTATTCTGATCGCTTTTTGTCCATCGTCGTGCGTAAACTTTTTACATTTTCAGCTTCTTATCAAGAACCAGTGAATGGAATTTTTTCAAACTTGGTCAGAATCATCGTTGGAAGATGATCATGAGGCTACAAAATTGTAAAATTGGGATTCCTACCCCAACCCCAGGGGCCAGGGCATGGGCCCAAAGGGAAAATTAACCAATATTTCAAAAATCTTGTCCAGACTCAGAGGTACTACAGTCATTTTCTCTGCATGGATAGAAAGATCATCAGGGGCTTTATTTAAATTGTAAATTTCAGGACCCCTGACCTATCCATTCTCCCTTGGGGAGGGGGGTAAAGTTGACTATAGTTTATAGGGGAACAACACTTTTGGGTATATTTTGACAATTTTCTGTAGGAAATTATTCTTACTCGGTGAGAATCATCCTTGGAGGAAGATGTTTTTCAAATTGTAAAATAGGATTCCTACCCCAACCCTAGGGGCCAGGGTGGGCCCCAAAGGGAAAATGAACCAATATTTCAAAAATCTTCTACACCAGACTTGGAGGTACTACAGAGCCATCCGTTCTCCCTTGGGGAGGGGGTAAAGTTTACTTTAGTTAATATAGGGAAATAACACTTTTGGGTATATTGTATCCATTTTCAGCAGAAAATTATTCAAACTTGGTCAGAATCATCTTTGGTGGATGAGGGTATTACATTGTAAAATTGGGATTCCTGCCCCATCCGCAGGGGCCTGGGGCATGGCCCCAAAGGGAACATTTACCAATTTTTAGCTCACCTGGTCCGAAGGACCATGGTGAGCTTATGCCATATATACTGCAGAGTCCGTCCTCCGTGCCCCTGTCAACTTTTCCTTTAAAACGCTACTAGTCCTGAACGGCCGAGTAGATTTTGACTAAATTTGGTCTGGAGCATCCTTAGGTCAAGGGGACTAAATTTTGTATAAACGATAGGTGTGGCCCCCTGTGGTCAGAGGGCCGGGGTCCAATAGGGGAAATAGAGGTAAAACCTTTAAAATCCTTTTTCTACCGTAGTGATTAAGGGATTTTATCATAATTTGGTCTGGAGCATCCTTGGGCCAAGGGGACTCAATTTTGTATAAACGGTGGGTCTGGCCCCCCTGGTGGCTGAGGGGCGGGGCCCAATAGGGGAAATATAGCAAATTCTTTAAAAGCTTTCTGCTTCTGTAGGAATGAAAGGATTTGTTCCATATTTGGTCTTAAGCATCCTTGGGTGAAGGGGAACCACTTTTGTATAAATCTTGGGTCTGACCCGCTAGGGGCCTGAGGGGCGGGGCCCAATAGGGGAAACATAGCAAATGATGGCACTGATGGCATGTTTAATGTAATGTAACAAAAAGGGAAGAAAAGTAATTAAGAAATAATATGAGTAGCAGCTACCATTAAATGTAACAAATAAACCGTATGAAATCAACAAAAGGATTAACTTTGAATTGCAAGCATTAACTTGAACGAACAACTTATTCTCTCTTTGCGTTTTCAAAGCATAAACTATCTGACTTTTGGTCAGTGTAGCATGTCAAACGCCCCTCTTACTACTATAAATACTCTACTGAGCCTGTTTAATCTACATACATTCATATAGACTAGTATTGTCAGGAAATATTTGGTGTTAGGCAAGGAGATGCACTTTGGTTCTTGTACTCTAAATCACAGGAAAATGTGTTTTTAAGTAAAAAGGCATTGTGGGATAAGTATGAAACTTTCAGAAATTAAATATCATCATATAACTAATATCTATGCCAGGTTACATGCTTATCCCCAAATGCCTTTTATGTACAATCAGCGGATAAACATTGGAAATAGGCAGAACATTTGATAAAACAATGAAATCGGTTAACTTTAACGATTAAAGCAGATACTTTCCTTGAGGCTAGGAGACTGAAAATTACCAGCAAATCAAACTCCATACATTAAATCAATCATTTTACAGAAGTTGTGGTGGCAAATGCAATTTTTGATTTGTAAGTTAACTTTGATAAGTAAAAAAACAAACCAGTACCTGGAACTCACTTCAGCCACAGGTGTTATATATAATATACAATACTAACAATTGATATCTTATACTTATAGCATATAAAGGGTGTCATGCACCTTTTAATTCACTTAAAATTGGGAGATACTTGAAAAAGCCAAGTTTGAGATGTATCCAGAAGCCATAACTCAGTATAAAACAAAAGGAAAGTATGTAGTCAATATGCAATTTATGTAAGTCTACTTAAATGAGTGAAGTTGTAAATTTCAAGTCAAAATATTAACTAGAAAGGAAATTATTGAGAAAACAAATTACTTTTCAATTGAAAATGACCAAAAAAGACCCCCTGACGTAATCCTTCTTTTTATATAAACAATCTTTAAGTGACGATTGAATTTCTGTCATTTTTCATTCTGTGACATATGCCTGTCTAATTTATACATGTTTTCAAAAACAGAAATGGTATTATTTTGGTTTTTTAAGCTCATTTTGAAAACAGCAAACTATATTTGTGATTTACGATACCCCTTTTGGTACCCCCAGAAACCCACTTTCGGTCAAAGTTTTACCTTAGTTTTTTCGCATATCATACAATAGGACATCTTTGAACAAAATAAGGAGGTGAAAATCAGAATATACCGGGGCCCAAAAAAGGGCCCTATAGACACCCTTCCTTTGGTATGAAGCGTCCTTGGGTGAAGGGGAACCAATTTCGTATAAACGGTGTTTCTAACCCCCCTGGAGGCAGAGAGGTGGGGCCCATTAGGGGAAATAGAGGTAAAACCTTTAAAATCCTTCTTCTACCATAGGGATTATAGGAGATTTTATCCTAATTTATTCTGGAGCATCCTTGGACCAAGGGGACTCAATTTTGTATAAATGGTGGGTATGAACCCCCTAGGGGCATAGGGGTTGGGCTCTGTTTGAAGTTTGTTCTTGCTATATCTCAAGTACTGGATGGATCTTTCTGAAATTTCATATGTACTTACAGCACCTACCATGGGGTGCTATATCTTTACTTCATACCAATTATTTTAAAGATATACAGGTGAGCGATACAGGCCCTCTGGGCCTCTTGTTTATTTGTAGAATATGACTTAAACACATATTTCTGAATAGTTATAAAGCATTTGAAAGGTTTTGATTTGTTGGTACTCTTTATCTAATACGTACAGCACTCCAGCAAGGACTAACTATTTTATCTTGTGTTGTGTCTAAGTTTGGTAGCTTCGTCAATTATTTAGTTTCTTGTTTTAATATGTCAGTTTTTATCGCATGTTATCTTATTTTTCTTTTTGTTAGGTCGGATTACTTGTCTGTACAGTCCTTCAAAAATTCAGCTATAAATCCGTGTCTGGAGTCCACATATAGTTTCCTACATCATGTGATCATGTCTCTGAAAGCCTTGCACTCCGATATTCAACCTCTGACCTTTTACCACTTCGGAGGTGATGAGGTCCCAAAGGGGGCCTGGGTCAATTCCAGCGCCTGTGACACCAGCTCTCTACAGGTAAACTAAGCCTTACAAGGCAATTTCAAAATATTCTATTGTTTAAACAGCTTAACATACAGTAACACCTTGTTATACTCTCACCATTATGTACAGTAACACCTTGTTACACTGTCACCATTATGTACAGTAACATCTTGTTATACTGTCACCATTAGGTACAGAAACACCATGTTATCCTGTCACCATTACGTACAGTAACCCCTTGTTATACACTCACCATTATGTACAGTAACATCTTGTTATACTGTCACCATTACGTACAGTAACACCTTGTTGTACTGTCACCATTATGTACAGAAACACCTTGTTATAATGTCACCATTACGTACAGAAACGCCTTGTTATACTGTCACCATTATGTACAGAAACACCATGTTATACTGTCACCATTACTTACAGTAACACCTTGTTATACTGACACCATTACGTACAGAAACACCTTAATATACTGTCACCATTACGTACAGTAACACCTTGTTATACTGTCACCATTAGGTACAGAAACACCATGTTATACTGTCACCATTACGTACAGAA